CAAATTTACAGGCGAGGAAGGTTAACTGACCTACCTCGGAAGGGCAGGTCGCAGCAGACCCAGGGATCTGAGCCGGGCCTTTGCCTCTTCACGCAAATAGAAAACATCCCCTGTGGTTGCTGCCACACAAGGCTCTCGGAGCCGCTTCCCATGTTCTCTGGGTGAGGCGAGGTGCCCCTCGAGCTGGAGGCTGTCTCTGGGCATGGGGCGAAGCCAGCAAGAGGCACAATTGGCCCATCCCAGGCGCGGGCCCACAGCGCGGCCTGCTCTGTCCTCAGCCAGGACGACCTGGGACGGCGCAGGCGTGGCCTGCCTCTGGCCTCTGCGGGACGCGGCCAGGACCTGAGGGGCTCTCACCTGCTACGTAGCTTCAGGCATCCCTGCACCCCGAGGCTCAATCCCTGTCCACACCACAGGGATCTGGGTGGAACCCAGTCCCGAGCGTTATCCCGAGACAGGCAGGTGGGGGAGGCACGACCTAACCCTGTTCCCGCAGGGGGCACGGTGGCCCCGGGCGGTGCCCTCGCACAGAGAGGAGGCCGATTCCTCCCCTTGGCTCCCCACAGAGCCAGGGCCTGTGCCCCACAATGCTGACCTAAAATGCTGAAACCACGTAGCTTTCCTGCTGGGAAGCGGCGGTGGAACACGGCTCTCAGACCCGGTCACCCGCTCCCAACTTTCCTAGCAGCCGGGCAGCCTGGAAGTCGGCATTTGCATTGCTCTGGGTTCTCCAGAGACGCACGCGGGGAGACTTGTTATGGGGTTGGTGCACACGAGTGCAGGGCAGAGAAGTCCCACGATCTGCCGACGGCAGGCTAGAGGCCCCGAGAGCCGGCCGTGCCCGAAGGCCTGAGCAGCAGGCAGCAATGCAGCAGTTCCCAGCCAGGGCCCAGGCTGGGATCAGGAGCGCTGGGTCCGGGGGCAGGAGGAGGAGGCGGCTGCAGCTCGAGCAGACAGAGTTGCCCTCCTCCGCCTTTTTGCTGCGGCGGGACCCTCGGTGGTTTGGAGCACGCGGCTCTGTGCGGGTGGGTGTCCCTCCCTCAGTGCACCGATTCAGACAGGAATCTCAACGTCCCACCGGCCATCTGGGCATCTCTCTGCCGGTCACACTTGGACTTGCAGAATCCACCCTTGCGCCACCTCCCCTCCTCCATCTGTCCCCCACCCTTGCACCCAGTGCTCCTCTCAGCACAGTCCCCTGGGCCATGAGATGCAGCCACCGAGCCCCCGGTAGCCTCCAAGGACTGAGTCCACAGCTTCCAACCTGAATACGTGAGCACCTGCTCCAGGCACGGCCCGGCCAGCTCGGAGGGAGTGAGACCGGAGAAACAGCCCCGGGCCCCAGGGCTCGTTTCCCACCGGGCAAGGGGCTCAGTGTTTTTCGAAAACTCTTTTCTGTGTGCGCACAGGGAGATGTTTAGATCTAAGATCCTACAGTTCTGTTGTCCCAGCAAGTGTGCATACCCGTGGGGCCACCACCACCAAAACCCTGGATATTGTCCTCACTCCAGAAAGTTCTTCATGCCCCTCGTCGGGCCACGGCTCCTCCTCCCTGGCCACCCCAGGCAACCGCCGCTGACGGGTCTTCCTGTCGTAACACTTCTAATAAACAGAATCACACCGTGTGTGCTGTACGTTATCGAACATATGTATTTGTTTCTTTTCTTTCTCCTGCCAATGGACGCCTAAGCTATTTCCAGATTTTGACGGTTACGAATGAAGCTATTAAGTCCCTTCTCACACGTGGCTTTTTGGGGACATACATTTTTATTTCTCCTGGGCGAAAACCTGTCAGTGGAATTCCGGGGCGTAAGACAGGTGTGTGTTTAACTTTTGAATAAATCACGACACAGTTTGTCAAACGATCGCGGCGCTTCCTGCTCACCGCGGGGTGTGCGCGTCCCAACGCCCACGTCCCTTCGGCGCTGGGTCCCGTCAGCGGTTCTCGTTTCAGACACGGGGGGGACGGGGTATCTGCAGGTGGTTTTTAAGTTTCAACTCCCTGGTGATTTTGAGACCTTCCGTGTGCGAATCGGCTTTGCATGTTTTCGTTTGTGAAATGCACATTCGGGTCTTTTGTGCCCACACTTTAAGGATTTTTGTTTGCTGCCTTTTCGCTGTCGGTGTGTAGGAGTCCTGTGTGTTCTGGACCCAAGTCCTTTGTCAGGTACACAGTCCTCCATCCCAGCGCCTCTTATTCACGTTATCAATAGTATTACATGCTGCTCCAGGAGTTACAACGTGCATGTTTGACTTAGCAAAGTCTATTCCGAATTAATGTCATGCTACTTCCGGGGGTATGACCTTATAGTCATATGATTTGATTTGTCTCTACCCACCCACCGTGCCGTCGGGCGCGTGTGTAAGATCACGCGTCTACTGAGGTCACGGGCGCGGCATTTTCGCTTTAGACGGCCAGGTGTCTACACCGCGTACCTGCCGCCTCCAGAGTCCTTCGATCTTTTCTGCAGACCCTAATTCCCTTCCGCTGTGATTGTCCTTCAGCTGCAATAGCTCTTTCAGCACTGCTTATAAAGCAGGGCTCATGGCAATTAATGCTATCACTTCATCTGAAAACGACTTTATTTTACCTTCATTTTAAAAGGCTATTTTCACTGGCTATGGAGTGGTAGGTTCACATTTTTTACTTTCAGTTACTTTAAAGACGTTTTTCTGTTGACTTTGAGATTCCTTATTTCTGATGAGAAATCAATCATCATTTGCACTGTTGTCTCTCTGTATCAAATGTGTCTTTTTTCCTCTGGCTGCTTTTAAGATTTTCTCTTTATTTTCAGCTATTTGAACGTGATGTGTCTGGGTGTGACTCTTTTGTATTTATTCTGTTTAGGGTCTAGAATCTTCTTGGATCTGTCGTTTGATGCTTTTAATCAAATTTGGAAAAAATTTTAGCCATAATTTATTTAAATGGTTTTTTTTGCCTCATTTGTTTTTCCTTTCCTTCTGTGTCTGCAATTACATGTATATTAATTAGGCTGTATAATATTGTCCCACAGGTCGTGGGGGTTCTGTTCATTTTGATTATAATCTCCTTTTTCTTCTTTGCGTATTTCAGTGTAGATCATTTCTCTTGAAACTGATCCTTTCCTCTGGATTGTCCACGCAGTTCTTAATCCCATGCACCAAATTTATGAATATAGATATTGCACTTCTCAATTATAGGGTTTCCATTTGGTTCTTCTCGGAGTTTTCTTAGCTCCCTACATCCCATCTCATCACTCATTATGTACGTCTGTGGATTCTCATCACAGTTATTGTAAAATTTTTTCTGCTAATTCCGGTATCTGCACTGTGTCGGTCTATTTCTACAGACTGTTTTCTCTCTTGATCACGGGTCACATTTGCCTGCTCTATTCCGTGTTAGTGGTTTTCTGTTGCATATTAGACATTATGGTTATACACAGTAGAGACCATATATTCTACTGTCTTCCTCTGAGGAGTGTTGAGTATTGTTCCAGAAAAAGTTTAAGTTCTCGGTGCCTCGCCTTAACCTCTGAAAGCTTGGTTTTAGATTTTGTTGTGATGCGTCTAATTTAGTTTGGCTTTTAGTTCTGTGAAATAACCCTTAGTTCTGGGACATGGTCCTTAATCCTAGGGTGTAGCCCTTCTATGGTTTCAGTGGAAATACCAAAGTGTTTTCCAAATCCCTCTACCTTGGTATGACCCAAACTCCAACTCTGTCTCCCCAGCACTGGGCAGCTGTTTAAACCTCTGGTCAGCTGTTGTTTGTCTTCGGTTCCTTGGAGTCACGACCGTGTATATAATTCAAGAGTTAGACAAGCGTTTGAGAGGCGTTAATATGGGATATCAGGAATTCCCTCTCATGGTTCCTTTCTAGGATGTTCCCCTTCGGTTTATGGCCGCTCCTGAGGCCCCAGACTCTGCTCTGACTCCTCTGGCCAAGCCGACCACTGCTTTCCCTGAGCGCCATCTGGGCGGGGGCGTCCTCAGCGGGAGTCAGAACACGTGGGCCTCACGCGGTGTGGTTCTATTCCTTCCGGGGCCACATCCCCTCCCCCTTTGCCTGCTTGGCCTTGAAACAGTTGAGTGTGTTTTCTAAGGGCTTCACCTGGAGTTTAGAGCTGTTCTCAGCAGGAAGGTCGGTCGAATATAAGTTTCTCCACCAGTAACAGAAGCTGAAAGGGAAGGAGGAAAATGTGCTCCCTGAGTTTTGCGGCCCCTCCGGCCTGCGGGAGCAGGTAGCACCGACCCCCTTCCGCTGAGGTGGGGGCTGAGCCTCAGCACAGGGGCTCCCCAGAGAGCGTTTGCCCACCACGCAGCCTGCCGGGGCCCCTCTCCCTGCTGCCCACGTTTCCCAGGAAAGCGTGTCCTGCGTTCCTGCCCCGAGTCCTCTCTCTCCCATGCTCAGCCCTGGGCTGAGTCCCGCCACCCCCGCCACCCCCACCCCCGAGGTGCTGGACACGAACTTCCCCCGTGTGGGCCTCACATGCACATCAGCCCGTGCAGCCCCCGGGGGGTGGGAACGGCTCCGCAGGTCACCACTGGGGTGAAAGTGCACCCTGAGCCCCTCGGGGTGATGAGTGATTGCGGAAGAACAGCGAGCACAGGAGCACAGAGAGGGCACTCTGTCTGTGGGGTCAAAGTCGGGGAAAACGTGTGGTAGGAAACATGGAGGGGCCTCGACAGTGCTTCTGTGTTTGTAGCAGGGACTGGAGACATCAGGGTGGGCTCCCTGGAGGAGGTGGCAGAGCAGACGGGACCAGAGCACTGGGCCACTGGGCAGGGCAGGCATGGAGTACTGAGAAGCACTTGGCACAGATGGTCTCCGGGAACGTGGGCGCAGTTGGCACTAACACTCATGAAGGGAATGGTGGATGGGAGGCTGCCGGCGGGGGCAGCGAGTCTGGAGCCTGGAGCTCGGCGGGCGCTCGGCCGTGCTGGGGATCCGCGTCTTCCCAGCTGCCACGCCGGGCGCGTGTGAGGCGCTCCGTCCGCTCAGGCCTCCCTGTCCTTCTATGCAGACGTTCGGCGCCGCGGACTGGGAGGTCTTCCACATCGGGGAGAGGATCTTCCTGGCCGTTGCCAACAGCCACAGCTACGACGCGGCGGTGCAGGCGCAGAACGGCTCCTACGTCCTCAACTCGGTCATCTACGAGCTGAACCTGACCGCACAGGCCTTCGTCAAGTTCCAGGACATCCCCACCTGCAGGTACCGCCGCGGCCGGGCTGGCGGGAAGGGCGGAGCTGGTCGGGGCCCCACCCTGTGGCACGGCCCGTGCGGGACCGTCCTCCCCACTGTTCCCGCGCACGGACCGGCCCGGAGCAGGCGGCGCCGCCCTGAGCCTCGCCGTGTTTGGTTCCCAGAGTCAGGCGTGCGCAGAGCTTAGCATGTCACCACCTGCTTCCTCTCGTCCGGCAGTGCAGGCTGGAGGGGCCGCCGAGGCTCAAGGAGCCGTGGCTGTCCGCGTGTCATGGGGCAGGTGTGAGGTCCAGGGCCTCAGGCGGGTGTCCTGACCGTGCGTCCACAGCCTGCCCGCTCTGGCCACCACCAGACACAGTTGCTCCCTTTCCCCCCGAATTGGCGTCCTCCTGACACCAGGACACAGATCGGCGTGTGCGGGGAGGAGGGAGGCTGGGTCAGGATGTGCCGGGTGGGGCCAGCTCTGCGGGACCACTGAAGGTCGTGTGGGCTCCACGTGTGGGACACTGGGTGCCAAGGACCCATGACCGTCGCGGCCTGGGCTCCCTCTGGGCGGGGCTCCGGAGGTCTGTGAAGGAAAGCGCGACGCAGTCTGCGCCGTTCGGATCCCAGAGCCGGGCCTGCTGGCTCAGAGCGGGAGCCCAGCGCTCGTGCCAGCCCCGGCGCAGCAGCGGCTTCCCCAGGTCCCCCTGGTTTTGCGCACCCCTTATGCCGTGCGGTAACTGCTCACGACCCTCCCGAGCACCGGGCCTGGCGTCAGCCCGAGATGCGACGATGAATAGGTTCAGACGCCTTGAGGGGAAAAGTCTCCAGGATGAACTCCAGGAAGCGGGGCGAGGACCAGCAACGTGGCACGGCCCGGTGCGGAGGACAGGCGGGGCCCCGCGTGCGTAGCTGCATCCACACGGGTCCCGGGGCGCCCCAGTCGGCAGGGCCACCCAGGGACAGGTGGGTGCCGGGGAGCACACAGGTCAGGAAGGCCTCTCTGTTTATACCCCACGACTTCTGAACCGCTTGATTTTCAGGCGTGCACACTGTTAACTTATCAATAAGCCACTCACACAAGTTTTTAAAATTTAAAGTGAGAAAGTGACCCTCAGAAGAGCGAGCTACGCTGCCCAGCTGGGAGCCGGGGCCCGGCAGCCACCGGTGGGGGAGGCGGACACGGGCCTTGGCCCCTCTGAGAGCCACGTCCTCAGGGCTCGGCTGCGGCCCAGAGTGCCTTCGAGAACAACATGTAGCTCAGGCACTTTAGAGCGAAGTTCAGAAAAAGCGAGTTTGAGAACGAACCGCGATTAATTGCGTGAAATGCACCCACGGAGACGAGGCCGGCTAGAAACTGACGGGGCAGATGCCTTCGGAACTGACGGGGCAGATGGCTTCGGAACTGGGAACCGCGGGAGCCACAGACTCATGTTCACGGTGTCCAGCCACGCGCCACGGCCAATGGCGGGAACAACTCACTAACGAAGTCCGTAAACATTAAAGCGGTTTTAACAATTCCCGTCAAACTCTCACTGTGGCGGTCACGTTAGAAGACTGCGGAGTGGGACCCTGTGTGCAGAAGCACAATTCCTAGCGCTTCCGCCTCACGTGGGACGTTCCCTCCTCCCTCCTGCGTCCGAGGAGCCGCACGCGGCCTCATCCTGCAACACGTGGAAAACCTGCCCGGGGCAGCTGGCGGCTTCGTGGCTGTGTGATCCTGGCTCTAACTGCACTCACACGGTGTGCTGCGTTTGCGTGTTTGTTACAATCCAATGGATGTATTGAATCCACAGACGTTTTAGATGTTCTAGAATGTTCCCAACCCCACACCCTTACCCGCCCCCGCCCCCGCCTGTCTCCAGCCCCTGCAGCCACCAGCCGCTTTCCATCCCTGCGCACGTCCTCGTCCCGGACATTCCGTGTAAGTGACATTGGCAGTAGGTGGCCTTTTGTGTCTGGCTCCTGTCTCAGCGTCCTGTTGTCAAGGCTCATCCGCGCTGGAAGCTGCGTCTGCGCCTCCTTCCTCGCTGTGGCCAAGTGACACGATGTCACGTGGATGTCACTGTCTTTCCCTTTGTCCTTTGATGAGTGTCTGTGGTGTTTCCACCTTTTGACCAAAGGGTAATTCCGAAGAAGAAGAATATACTTCGGATTTCTGTCGGCGAAATTAGCGTAGCCGAATATTCGGTGTGGATTGGAGGCAGAAACAGGCAGCCTCTGCCGGGAACCGTCCTTCCCTCACCTGGAGCCAAAGCCCGCTGCTGACCGCGCCGCGGTGCAGCCGACGGCCACTTCGCCGTCTCGCAGGAAAACATTGCTGTGGGTTCGTCTTCCGCAGGCTCAGAACCCAATTCCCAGCGAGGAATTCGCGCGTGGATCGCACCGACGCGCTGACCCGCACACCCCAGACCAGGGCACGCGGCCGGGGGTGCGGTCGAGCCCCCCAGTGAGCGAGTGTGGGCACCAGTTTGGGGCCGAATCGTTGCCCACCACTGTGGAGGCCGAGGGGGGTCCTGACCAATGGAAGAAGGGCCCTCCGGCCCCTGCCCCGCCCACCTCACCCCTGCCCTCTCCGAGGTCCCTCCCCTCCCAGGTCCTGTCTGAGCACCTGCTGGAGGTCCCCTGCCCCCCGCCGCGATGCCCCACCGGGAAGCACCCAGAGATGAGCCGTGGCCATGAGGGGCCTCTGCTGCCGGGACGGGCCACAGCCTGAGGCTGCCACACGAGGAGGCACCGCCCGGCCTCCCCTCAGACTGGCCCCTGCTTGCTGCATGGCTTCTGCCTCGGTTTCCTCATCTCTGGAGTGGGCACAGGACCTGCAGTGATCAGAGAGGCGTCAGGCAGAGACGAGATGTGGGCCTGACGGCTGACGGCCCAGAGGGCCTCCCAGAGTGGCAGGGTCTGGGGCAGCCGCCTGCCGGGTCCCGGGAACTGCGCGGCCCTGAGCACAGACGGCCCCTCGGCACACTCGGGCCAGGCCCTTGCCCGGGGGAACATGTGGCCTTAAGGCCACATGTGCCTTCTAGGTCCTTAAGTGCAGCCTTCGGACTGAATCCAAATTTTACAGAACAAATCCTTTCATTTCTGTCAATACATTCTTGTTCCTCTTTTATATTTTTATTTATTTTTAAAACGAAGATATTCAAAATACCAAAGAATAAAATAAGTTTCAATGAAATAATGCTCCGAGATAGACCAGCACACTTAGAACATTAGCTAGCCTTAAGGGCTAAACCTACAGGTGCTACATGATTTAGTTCCAACTTCCCCCGCCTGGCTGGCGCCACTGCCATGCTAGGCGGGTTGGCCGCAGTTTATGGGGGTCGAGTACGCCAGTCTGCTGTCAGCTTTTGACACCAGGCCACTGTGTTTCTGTTTGAGGTGGAATTTGAGAATAGTTGCACAGCTAGACAGCATTTTTCAATTCTGTGTGCCTAACAGCCCATCATATCCAAAGACCAAGAGAACGCTGAAGGAAGAAAACAGATTTTTTTCATGAGGATTGGGAATTGCAATCTTGTGTCTGCTAAAGAAAAGATGATTGCTTGCTTTGTGATACTGCAATGTCAACATTTAAGAAATTCAATGCTCATCGTCATCATAACACTCATAAGGACCACAAACATTTTAAATTAGAGAGAGAGATGTGAAAGGTGGTATTGCAGAAATTAAAAAGTGAAAAGCAAAAGCAAAGACAAGTTTTTCAAGCAGGCACAGGACCTGGAAATAATAGCACAGAAGCAACTTATAAAGTAGCTTATATGCTCGGGGGCGGGCGGGGGGGGCAAGCCATTCAGTGATGTAGAAATTGCGAAAGAATGCACTGTCGAAGTTGTAGGATGCCTAGGCCCCGATAACGTTTCAAAGTATTAATACAAACAACGGCCTCTTTCAAGGAGAACCATAACGGGTGGGCAGCATGAATTCACCTTCAACTTAACAGAACAACTTCATGCAGTATTTCAAAAGGAAAAAACATATTATTCAATTGCTTTAGATGAATCAACTGATACTACTGAGTCAGCGCAGTTTTTCTACTTCATTCGGGTCATAACGGCAGATTTTCTTTGCTATGAAGAGTTACTCGCTTTGGGCACTCTTGTGAACAGAACACTGGGAATAGGTATCTTCAACAGCTTTCAAGATAAACAGGTCCTGATGCTCTCATTTCTTTTCATTGTATCTCGCATCAGCAAAGTCTCTGTGCTAAAGCTACTATTTTAAGTGACACTTTGCAACAAGTTGTAAGTATTGTTAGCTATATTCATGCAAAGGCAACAAGGCATTGTCAGTTTTGTAACAAGCTAAGGTTGAAGGACGAGGTATTCAGTGTGGATTTGCCGTACCATTCTAAAGTACATTGACTATCTCAGGGACAGGTGTTAGCCAAAATTTTATTTCTGCAAGAATAGAGAGTTAAATTTTATGAAGAACAGAATCAGCAATGTGAATTTTTGAAAGAAGATTTCTATAGGAATGCAGCATTTCTGTGTGGTATCAGGTCAAATCAAAACGACCTGAATATTTCTTTGCAAGGTAAAACTAAGTCACTCAGTCTATAGATGATATGTGGCAAAAAATCCAAGCATTTTGAAAAAAAAGATGTTTTTGTTCAAAACACTTCTTCAAAAGGAAATTTTGGATGGACATTTTGCCCAGTTGGCAAAGGTCACTGATGAGCAGGGTGATATAAGTGAATGATGATCTGAAGAATACGCAGCTGTTACAGACTGTTATTATTGACTGGAGAACACAGTGAAAGGTCACTGACTTTCAGAATCATGACATCCACTCAAATTAGCATTTCAGCCTCAGCTAGTTGATCTCGCCAAGGCACCTAAAGACCTACAGATGGAACTGATCGAGCTCTCAGGAGATGACAATTTAAAGTCATTGTTTGATGCTAAGAAAGACCCAATCGAAATGTGGAAAAACGCAGTAGAATACCCACGCCTTCCACAACATGTCTGAAAATGCTTTTCAGCCACTTATTGCTGCGAAGCTACATTCTCCTACCTCACCCAAATCCAGACGCCCTTAAGGTCACAGATGACGGACACCCATCTAGAGGGTCAACTGAACCTGTGACCTCTACGCTACAACCACGTATTCAGATGCTTTCCAACAAAAAGCAGACACCACAGAGTCACTAAAAGCTTAGTTAACTTTAAAATTGACAAATATTTTTCACTTTTTGAAATTATTAAGTACAAAGTGGCTAGTATTTTACAAAAGAATGTATATTTTTAAGTATATCTAACTGAAGTTCCTTGAATGTGGCCTTACTACAGCGGAATTAATGCGGCTTCCACCGTGAAAAGGCCCCACCCTGCTCTTGCCTGACACAGAACACAGCACGTCGGTCTGCGGTAAGAACAGCTTCCAAGCGCAGGAGAACACTTGTGGGTCGGCAGGGCCTCGGGCCCCTGATCCTGGGGACGGTCAGGGGTCCCAGGTGGGTGACCTCATGGCTGTGACCTCAAGCTCTTGCCTTCAGAGGGGGCTGTGAGCCCGGAACTTTTTCTCTGACTATTTCAACCTCTCAAAAGTGGACTTCTGCGCCGCAATAGTCAGCAGGGCCGTGCACCCTGGCCAAGAGGTGGAAACAGCCCAAGCGTCCGTCGCTGGACGAATGGACAAGCAGAACATGGCACACACGGTGCGATATTGTTCAGCCTGAAAAAGGACAGAAATTCTGCACCTTCTACAGCATGGAGGGGACTCGGGGAGAGAGCCAGTCACAAAAGGACAAACACTGTGCGGATCCGCCTGTCTGAGGTCCCCGAGCGGCCGGATTCACAGAGACAGAGAATGGAGCGGCGGGAGCCGGGGGCTGCGGAGGGGAGTTAATGTTTAATGGGGACAGGGCTTCGGTTTTGCCAGGTGTCAGGTTACGGAGAGGGACGGCGGTGATGGCTGCACAACACTGGGAACGTGCTTAGTGTGCACGTAAAATGACTGAAATGCTAAATTTTATGTGTGTTTAACCACAATCAAAATTCTTTAAAAAGTATTTTTAAGCCAACACCCAGTCTGCGTTGTCCCGGAATGGACCGGCGCGCCATGTAACTGAGAAAACCCTCCCGCCCCGCCCAGCTCCCGCCCTGGGAATCTCGGCGGGGGGCCCCGGCCCCGACTTCCGGAATCAGGAGAGTCGGCTCCAGTGCAACCCCTGTTCCCTGGCGACACCCCAGCTCTGTGCCCTGACCTCCCCTCGCTTGCTCCCGCAGCGCGCTGGACTGGGAGTTTTTCTCGGTGGGAGAAGACTACTTCCTGGTGGTGGCGAACTCCTTCGACGGAAACACCTTCTTGGTGAACAGTATTATTTACAGGTAAAGGGCTGCCGAGGGCCGGCATCCTCCCTCACCGCCGTGGGCCCCTTTGGGGTCACCCTCCCTTGCAGGCGACCACAGGCTCACCTGTGGGGCCAAGGTAGCTTCCCGAGGCCACGCCTTTGGCTCAGCCACCGGAGTCCTGGAGCTGACTCTTGCCACCAAGGGTTCTGGCGCAGACATGGTCATGTGGACACGGTGACTCGAGAGTTATTGACGCTTAATTTTCCTCATAGAGACACTGTGGGATTCTTGTTACGTTTATTTCTAGTTGTTCTAGTATTATAAGTATAAAGAACAGAGTTTTTTGGCCGGGCGCGGTGGCTCAC